CGATAGCAGTACCTCAGTACAGATCTGTGTTAAAAGGTTCCACACTGAGGCCGATGCCAGTGACAGTAAACTATCAGTAAAGCCGGATCATAAACCAATCAGCAACTGAGACAACTAAAACCTGTTAACATGTAAAGTTTTTCACACACTACTTTGGTAACCTCAAAAATAGGTTGATATAAATCTCCCCACTTCACTTGGCTGCAGTTATTTTACCCGTTATTGCTACAAGTTGCTGAATTTCAGTTTGGGTTTGGGTCACCTCACAGCCACTAGTGTCCTTCTGCGTGGATTTTTGTTAAGAGATGAAGAGTTAAAATGAATGATAACGATGTGATGTTCTGCTGGGAAGCATCAGGATCAGTTGCTTTTCCCCTCATGCCCGACATCACCGGAGACCCCCACAGGTCCCGTTTTTCGCCCTGTTGAATCAGAGCTGTGTTGATGGACCTACACGGTATCAGACGGGTGTAATGCTGGGCCCGATCGATCCATGCATACAGTGATTTTTGTGAGCCCTCATGCATCAGTGGTTTTTCGACTCCAGCCCAGAAACCGCAGACTCCGGCAGAGAGGTAATTACTGAATATAGTAGCATTGATTGTCAGCGTGACAAAATAGGGTTTGATTGATTCAAAGCTTTATAACTTAAAAACGAGAGGCCGCTGTTTTATTTTACATCACCATTAACACGCCGCTGTTTGTTTTCTCAACAATCAAACGTGACTGTTACAGAAAAGGAGGATTTGGGCGATAAGAAGGAGAGGATAAATACAAAATAAAGCGTTAGGAAGGCCGCGAATTGAACTCCCTGCTTCTAATGTTAAGCAGGTAACCCTCTCATTTGGTGTGTTGTTCTGCTCAGGAAAGGACTGGCATCAAACACATCTCAGCACACACACACTCACATATACAGGGGTCCTGCCCAGTAAGAGGGCATAAAATCTGAATAATTTCACAGATAATTTGGTTGTCACAGGCTGGCAATAGCAATAACAACTTTAGATAGAGAGCCAGCACAAAAGGGAAGTAGAGAGAAGAGCGGAGCGAATCACCCTTAGCCAATCGCTGTGTCTAAGCCAAAGTGGTGTTTGTGGGAGGATTAAAAAAAAAAGAGCTCCTTTTTAAGCCTGTCGAAGAAAATGAGGGGAATCGCTCTCATTTCCCCTTTTCTCCTGCTTCCAAATCGTTCCTCCTCTCCTTGCATCACTCAGCGTGACCCTTTGAAAAATCGCAAAACGTTTAACGTGGCGGCGGGATGATCGCGCGCTCCAGCTTCGGCGATGGTGGCATAAAATATGGGGTGCTGTAATTGGAATTATGCACTTAGAAACAGTTTGGGGATGTGCAGTCTATCCAGCACACAGGTGGCTTTCATCACCTCGGAAAGAAGCAGGCAGCGGTGCGCGTGTGTGGGTGTGCGCGGCCACATATTGAAATTGTGTGTCCTATACATTATTCAGATGCTTCGAGCCACCACATCTGTTCATTTCTCTGAGCGACATGCACACACACACCTGATGAACAATAATTACTCTGCTGCCTGGCACCCGCGTCACCCTCTAACATTGGCTTTGTGCGGCATGTAGTTTGTGAGGAGTGCTGTTTGTCACCTGTACGCACAGATCATAATGACAGAAATAGCTGCGCACAAACAACAAACTTGTGCAGGATAGATGCACCACAGTTTGCCGTGCATGTGCTCACAATTCCCGAAGAGGTGCGTGCACACTTTGGAGTCTGTGGAGCGTTTCGGAGGGGTGCTTACAGTACGTACTCGCTTGATCCCTGTGTCTTTGCGCGCTTACATGTGTGTGTTGTGTGCGGCCTGTGTTTTTGGGAGAGGAGAGAGAGATAAAGAGAAAAGGAGGCAGTCTTTTCTGTGGCGTCAGCCTTTGATCAGTGTCCCTCTGTGTACGTGTGTGTGTATGTGAACCAACCCCTGGTGTCTTGGAGGCAGATGAAACACTGTGCCTCTATCCGGGGCTCACAGAACACCCACTATCCTCCTCGCCTTTTCCTTTACTCTCATCTCTGCCTCGCTCTACCCCTCCCTCATCGCCCCCCCCAACCACTGTTCGTTACCACAGCCATTTTAAAGGCTATTCATGCGGCGCCGCGCCTTTCATCTTGCATTGCTGCGTTTTCACCAGCTCCTCGATTTCTTTTTTTTTTTTCCTCAAGCCTTTTATCAGATTAGAGCAGACGGGGGTAGATGGGGGGAGGACGGGTGAAGTGGCCTGCTGTTGTGCACTGTCTCTCTGTCAGATGGACGCAGCGTGGAGGTGCAGAGAAGACGGCGGCTTCGGCTGTTATGAAAGATAACACGAGGATCTGGGGTGTCTGCTGGCTCTGTGTGGCCCACTTCTCTGTTTTGCTGCTCCACCGGCACAGCCACTGTGATAATAGATGCTTCAAGAAGCTGCACAATAATGATTATTTCCCACCTTTGGACTTTGCTGCCAGAGCTTTCTCTTTTTCTTCTTTGTCCAAGAAACTGTGCTGACACAGAAATATTGCTATGCATTGCAGTAATTAGCCAAATTAATGACCTCATTAGCATAATTGGTTATGTTTAATATATCATGGTGATTACAGTAGGGCATTAGGCAGCTTATTTGCCTCTTGTTTGTGCTCGGCTTATTTAACGCACCCAAACATGCTGCTTATTTGTGAGTGTTTGTGGTGTTTTAAGAGCAGCACAAAAGCCGTAATGGAATGAGATGCTTCTCGAGACGCACTTTGATCTGTTTTGTTTTATGGATCGTAAAGGTGAACTGTAAAAATGAAAGAGAAAGTAGGAAAATATTGATTAATTATGTACTTGACGTAATTAGTTTGGTTACTGCCGTAAACTCTGTGCAGCATCGACAGCTCGTTTGTGGTGCAGTGCAATTAAAATGAAATATTCATGCACAAAAGGTGATCAGGTAACACCCCCCTCCCCTCCCCTCCCTCGCCCTGCAACAAACTTCATATTCCTCATCTCTCCATGAGCTGGATTCATGTGGACAGTAATGAGCTCACCACCTTTCTCGGAGCAGTAAACGCCCTCCCTCCTCAGCAGCAGCTCCGCCAGTGTGGGGGCTTCAGGGTTTATGGAAAGAAGTTTGATTATCCAGTTTTAATGCGTTCGTGTAGGTGCAGCAGGTTCGCTGGTGTGTAGTTAGACGAATATGCGAGTAAATTCCAATAACTTGTCTTCTTTTTACTGTAATTCTTTGGATGTTCTTGTGTTTAATAATTATTATCAGGTTTCTCTGTGATTTCTCAGTTATAGCCACTACATAGTCATGCCATAATATCAAGCATGTGTTTCTGTAGTATGTGATGGATATTTGGAGAAAATGCAGGTGGTCTTTCTTGTTTTTACCACAAGGTGGCAGCACATCCTCATGTGTAAGCCCTTAGTAAGTCCCCCTTACCCCCTCTCACTTATATACCTAATAATTCCTGTTCAATTATAACATAATATATACAGTTCTTGGTTGTATTTTTAGTTTTTAATTTGGCTTGAGTTATTTGTCTTTATTTAGATTTTCCTTCCTTTATTCTTCCTCCACAGACAGATGATTAGACCCCATAAATACAGTCGGGCCTAGCTGTTTCACAGTGTAACCAGCGCTGAGCAGATTAAATGTGTAATAAATTAAGAAATGTTTATGTTGGTGTGCTGGCTCCCAAATTCCCGTTTATCTTGATAACACTACTGAGACACCCATAGCAGATAACGTACTGTATGTTTGTGTTAGAGCTGATCAGAGCAGCTACCAGCATACAAGTGTTCAGCTTCCACTGTAGCAGCTTAATTGATGACCTTTCCAGTGCACCTGTCTTTAATAAAGCTTTAATTAGAAGTCCCGTTAGGATCTCAGGGGCTGCCGGTTAATGGGTACTCAAATAGGAAAGATTTAGGTCTTTGGTGGAACAATCGAAGATACTTACCAGTAATCGTGAGAGGCAAATGTCGGCGAACGTCATAAAGGGCGAGGTATTATTCGGCTGCTCTGATAAACGGGACGGTCGTCTTACGGGGAAACTTCGGGAAGCGTCGGCTGCTTTATCGTTCCGCGGGGGAATTTGATTTGAAAACAGCGTTCTGTGTCATTATGAGGTACAATGAAGAAATTAAACTCAATTATATCAGACAAAGCACCGAATGAATAATTAATGCGCTAACAGTGCTGCATGCATAGAGTGGAGGTGTTCGGGGTATGTATAGTTCACATTATGTATGCAAATTAGGCCCCTGCACAGCTCATGAGAGGATGCATGTAAGGAACTGTGAAGCTTTGGCTTTTCCAATCAGACCACATTCTCAGTTAATTCAGATCGCTCCCTTTGAGACATTTGCTCATTTCAGAGTCTTCATGGGTGTGATGGGATACACACAGCATGTGTTTTGAGTTGCTGGGGTACTTTAATTGAACTTGAATATTCATGCATTTTTCTGTGGCACCTGTGTCGCTTTTTTTTTCTGTCCTACAATCTTCTGCCTGTGAAGGTAAATGTTTCTGTTTGGTCTTCTTTCTATTTCGTATCATGTGAGATGATATTTGATCTGGTTATTTGTACGATTCAGGTCAGGGCCTCCTACGTTCCTCAGACACACGGCTGTCGTACTCTGAGTAGGTCTGTTCAGAAGTTGCTGCTCAATGACATTAGAGAGAGAAAACGTCATTAAGAGAGGGGCTGAAAAAGCACTTGCTTGTGCCACTCCCTTTGTTGTCTCTGTGCACCGGCTGTGACTCCTTGTTGATGACTGATGGTGCTGCACACTCGAGCGCTCTCGTTCTCTACAATCTTGCAGTTCCCTCCCAGAAGTGGAGCTACAGGCCAAAGTGGGAATCACTTTCCTGACAGATGCTAAATATTAAAGCTACACTTCCCAATAACATCTTGTCTTGTTCTCTCTTCATCCCCCTCCATCCTCCCCCCTCCTCTTCTGAAAACACTCCTTCACCTTTCTCCTCCCTCCATCTTTGTGTCCCACACATAAGGCTTCCTGAGCACCGGAGATCAGTCTGCTAAGGGGAACTATGGCCTGCTGGACCAGATTCAGGCTCTGCGTTGGCTCAACGAGAACATAGGCCACTTTGGCGGAGACCCGGAGAGGATCACCATCTTCGGCTCTGGAGCTGGGGCCTCTTGTGTCAACCTCCTCATCCTCTCGCATCACTCTGAGGGTAAATGTCATGTTTTATTCCTCGTACAGCACATATTTTTTTTAATATCTTTTCACCACCTTTGCTGCTTTTTCTTATTTAAACCAACATTAACTACCAGCTACCAGCTTGGATCCACCCTGTTAAATCAATGATCAGAGGGCCAGGTTAGCTTATTTCCAGCTCTGTATTTCATTCTTAGACTTTGGCGGAGATGCTTTACATGGATCAGAGATGTCTTATAGAGGACCAGAGTGCAGCTCCTCTGTTCATCCTCAGACTGAAACAGCCATTTCAGCTCTTATCCCCCTTTCTTTAAACCAACTTTCTTCTGATTGTCGTCTTATTATAAACAGAAGGTGTGAACAGCAGGAGGGCGGAGCTTCTTGGCTCATAGCTGTGTGCCTGAGATGACTGCATCAAGGATTTTTGCTGTCTCTGACATCACACAGAGCCATAAGAAGAAAAAACTCTCAAAAACCAACATCAGTTTCACGTATTTCGTTTACTCTGGGCTGGATCTGATAAGCTTAAAAATTTGTAGTTTTTTCCCGTCGTTTATTTCTTTTCACAGAGACAAAACTCTAAATGAACCAACATCCGTCGCTATAAATCACACCTTCAGTCTGCTTAGTGGCCAGATGTGTGCAGGCCAGGCGCAACAAAAAATGAAATAGAGGATGAAGGTGTTGTGCTCTGGACTAGTGAATAACATGGAGAGTTGTTTATCTGTGCAGTTTTATTCATTTACAGCAAACTGATGCAGTTTGTGTCCTCTGCACATCTGTGGTGCTCTGCTGCGTCACACAATGTGAAGCATGTCAGACTACGGAAAGATGTGTGGTTCAGCTAGAGACCGGGGAGGACCACGGGGAGGACCATGCCTCCTTTAACATACATTTCTCGACTAATATATTTTTGTCCTTTGCGTACATTCTGTCTGAATGACTAAAGTTTCTGTCCTCAGTCAGTCAGTTCAGCTCTCTTTAGTGAGCCATGTTTTATTTAATGTAAAATATGATTGTCACGTATAGAAGCACAGCGGATAGCTTCCAGCCCAGAAACAGTTAAGTCCTGTGATGTTCACTTGACACCTTTATCCCCAAAGGAAAACACTGCTTGTCCTTTGAACTGAACAATTTAAGCAGTCGTGTAGCTAATGTGCGAGCGGAGGTTTGATCCACGTTATGTTATTCATTTCTTTGGAGGATAAATGGCGTGGGAGCTCCAGCATTACCCTGAATTACCTGCCTTTGGCGTGCGCTCCTCTGTCCGCGCTTCACTGCTCTGCAGCAGGAAGTCTCTCTCTCCACTGAAAATCCAACATCTATCTGACCTCGTGCTCCCCATTACCAACAACAAACCCCGAGGGCTAAGTGTTAACACCGCACCGCCAAAAGACAGAGGCCGACAGACCAATCGACTTTGATCAGAACTGAGATCAGCGTGGCCGACGATCCGCAGCCAAACGGTCACGCGCTCGCCGCCTTTGATCATGCTGTTCTTGAAGCTGTCCTCCTCCAGTCGTGGCTCCTCTGTTCTCTCGGCTGCTCGAGGACTCTCCCTCAATATGTCTCCCCTCTCTTCATTTTCCGTCTCGCACACACAAACTGCAAAGGACAGAAACAGGAAAGAAATGGTGGGTGAGAAGAACAAGAGAGATTAGAGAGTGTGTTCACACAACCACGCATCTGTTTCAATTACTGCTCTGTGCGTGTGTGTGCGTGCGTGTCTGAAGCACCAAGCAGACGTCTGACTTGTCTCTAATTTTGACTCATTCTGTCGGCGTAGATGTGCCTTGAAAACAAATGTGTTGTCAAAGCTTGAATGAGCATCCGTGCGCTGCTGCTGTGTCACTGTATCTGTTTAACACAATGTCTGTAATTACCGCTGATGTCTGTTAACCCTTCACATTAACCCAGACCACCCCCAGACTTTCCTGTTGAGCACCCCTGTCTGATTGCATATACACAAATATAATCTATAAAGCCTGGTAACTTCACTTCTTTAACACTTTGGAGGGAAAAGTTTGTATTTTCTTTGTGTTGCTAAGTCATGGTGTGATTAGCATAAGTTAAAAGAGGTAAATAACTAGCCCGACATCCCGCAAAGTGACTAATATTAAATGGGTATTGTAACTTACGTGCTTTCATTATTATTATTAGTTTTATTAATGGGAATACTTTATATAAAAATACACATTTTAATTATAAGTCCATATTAGTGTGTGTGAATGTGAGAGTGAATGAATAATGGAATTGTAAAGCACTTTGGGTGCCTTGAAAAGCGCTATATAAATCCAATCCATTATTATTATTGTTATTAGTTGCTTCTGGTCTCTTTATTAGTTATCATGAAAAGATGTAATAACAGCTTACAATTCATGGCAATATTCCACAGCTCCATGACCATTAGTTCAGTTATCCTTTAAAAACCTTGTCATTACTGCATAACAACAGTAAATAACAGTTAAAGTATGAGTGCTATGACTGATGATTTTAAGTATTGATGTGTAAAGTCTGTTTGCTAGCATATCATTTTTCATGTTTATTTATATAGTTAACTTTTTAGGATTGTATGTTTCACAGCCCTGTCATGTGTTAGTCAGAGGTATTCTTTGTTCTCATTGGTGGATGTGGAATGTTTACCTCAGTACTCAGTACTTCTGTGACTACAAGTCATTGGTCGCTGGTTTCCATGACACCACTAGTTCCATGTGTACAGCCCTTTAACCCTCTCAGGCTCAAATTAAGTTTCTGTTGCTAATGCACAAAAGAATACCTGCAGTGGTACTTCTGAGTAAAAAAAAACTCATAAAATGTGTGTGGGGTAATCAGGTTGTTAGCTTTTACAACGCCTGCCTTGAGAGGGTTAAAGGGTGGTGGTGCCATCCTGCAAGATTAATAACATGTAGTAAATGTGGGTGACTGACCACAAAACTACAGCTAACTCAGAACATATTCCCTGTTCTAAAGTCAAATCGTGCCCATGGCTAACAGGTTGCTCAGCAGTTATTAAACAGCAATAAGAAGGTTAGTGAGGAAACTCTAAATGGTCTTCTAGTTGCAGAATATGCAGACTTAGACGTTAATGCTTAATAAACATTGTGACTGATGAGGAGCCATTCTGTCGCTAACATGCTAATAAGCAGCTTGTCAGTTGTAGATTTATGTGCTTTAATGTAAAATGTTACCTTTTCTTCACATTTTCTTTCTCTGTGTGAATGAGCTCCAGAGATGTCTCTAATTATAGTGTCTAACTTGCTCTGCTTCTAGCATTAATGCTAATCCATAATGATTACGTTCCAGCTCCAACATGAGCTCAAATTAAAAAAAAAAATCTAAAGCACAACCTTAAAAACCGAGGAATGCCGCTGTTTACCCCTTTTGTCTTGTTGCTGACAACCAGCCTCACCCCGTCCCTCACTGTCACCTGTCTGTCCTCATGCCTGCGCTTTCTCATCACCCCGTCGTCATCTTCCTCTTCATCAGCATCTAATGGCGTTACATCAGTCCACTAGACGCCACCTGTCTGTCATGCCTCCCCCCCCTTCTCCCCTCCACCAGGGTGCCAGGTAAGGAGTCTGTCATCCTCACACTTAATGGACACCAATCATGTCAACAACACAGTGTCACAGATCAGGGCTGACATCAGAGGCTTACAGGACGGATAGCAGGACGTAGGGAGGGGGTTGTTAGTGATACTGATATGAAGGTTAGAGGGAGGCAGAGGACAGTAATCAGTATCCATCCACAGTTAAGAGGAGTGAGACAAGGACAGGATGAGAAACAGGAGACTATGCTGAAGAGGAGAAAGAGGGAATAAAATGCTTTGAAATGGAAAATACGAAAAAGCAGCAGCCAAGTAGAGCAAGGTTTCAAGCAGCGAAGGCAAGAGGCACTAAAGGAGCGACAAAGAAACTGATTTTGAAGACGAATAAAATATACCCTCTCTGTCTGTCTCTCCTCCCCTCCTCGGCCTCTCTCAGTGCAGATATGTAGGTATAGCTGTTTCCAAGCTACTTCTTACTATAATTGATTTCCCAGGGAAAGAAGGCTCTGCAGCTCTGCTTAATAATTAACTGACCAATCTTCGGCCCGGGAGAAGGGAGAGAAAGAAAAAAGGGAGCCCGGGAGGAAACGAGAGAGAGCCAGGCGGCCCCCTTAATGAGCCACTTGAGTGGTTTAAACAGCACAGGACAGCCAGAACTAAAGGAGAGAGAGAGAAAAAGAGGGAGACAGAGAGGGGAAAATACATCCAAGAGAAGCTTGGAAGGGGGGAAAAGCAGCTCAAGAAAGGAAAAATAGATCTTTTGACATCTCAGATGAGCTTTTTCCCAGTCCTGCCTCCACTTTTTGGAGCTAAAGCTCCATAACATGCTCCGTCAGTGATGCTCTGGGTCTGTAGTCCCATCCTGTGTCTACCAGCTTTTCTCTAGTAAGAAACGTGATGACGAAAAATTGTTAAACTGTATTTTTAATCAAATTCTCTAGCAGAAAGAAAGTTATGTGATTTATACATCAGGCATCCTCCCTCTGCCCTGAACCTCACCAAAATGTCTTTCTTTCCCACGTCTTCTTTCAGGTCTGTTCCACAGGGCCATAGCGCAGAGTGGCACAGCCATCTCCAGCTGGTCCGTTAACTACCAACCCCTCAAGTACACCAAGATCCTGGCCCGGAAGGTGGGTTGCACCTACGCAGAGACGGCTGACCTGGTTGACTGCCTGAGGCGCAAGAACTTCAGAGAGCTGGTGGACCAAGACATCCAGCCGGCCCGCTATCACATCGCCTTTGGGCCTGTTGTGGACGGAGACGTAGTTCCTGATGATCCAGAGATTCTCATGCAGCAGGTGAGGGTCTGATAACAGCAGCCGCACATCTCTGTTGTGTTTTATTATCCAAGCAAAGTGGTGAGAACTCCTGGGATCAGCCGTGACGTGAAACCAAAATAACTGCAGAGAAAATAACTGCAGTGTTGGTGATGTACATGATCAGGGTGTTATACTTTAGACACACTGAGAAGTTTCTCTTGTGTTGCCATGAGTGTTCGCCAGAAGCCCAAAAAGCAAACAAATAAGACTTTATTAAAGAAAAGTATAAACACAAGTACACGCAAAGATGAGACACAACTATAAAGACAAAGAGCGATCTGACTGGGACAAGTAAAACTAACTGGGAGAGCAGTTTTCTTCCAACAATCGCTACCAAAATGAAACAGGAAGCAACAAGAGACAGTAGCAAATAAGCTAAATGTAGTCAGACCTGGAAAATGTTAAGCTGGAACAGAACCTTAAAGCAGCAAGATGTGATCCTGTAATTCAAAGCTGACAGAGAGTCGTCGAGGTTTTCAAAGAGCAGGTTTCTCTTCTCAGTTTGATTGAAATATTTTCATGTGACAAGAATAAAAAATTCTTCTTCTTCTTTATTCATCCATCCAGATGGTATTTTGGACCATCTTCTAAGTGAAAAACTGAAAAAGTTGATTTGTGTGTATTATTAGTGTAAGTAACCACTGCTGGTTGACCAGGATTTTAAATTACAAAAGAGATTCTTAAAAAGTTTTATTATTTGATTAAATAAATGCTACATTCTGAAGAGATTGCTGATGCAGTCAGTGTCATTAATGTGAAAGTCATTTTGGAGACGGGGGAAGTGTTTTATGTAAGGTGAAAAAAATCAAACAGGTGTGCAGAAAGCAGTAACGTGAAAATCACTACAGTGACATATTGTGTGTGAGAGGAAGAAGTGTGAGTTTTGCAGCTCTATGCATTAATCGACACTGCAGACTTTTAAAAGATCGGCCCTGAAGCCGTGACCTGCAGAACACGCAATATGATGAAGATCATGGCCTTAAGAGTCAGTCTTGGAATCCTTGAAAATGCTTGAAGTTTAATATTGTCTTTTCAAGGTTTGAAAAGTGCTTGAAAGTGTTGTAACTAAAAGTTACTGTGACTCAAACATAGAAAATTTTGATTTTTTTTATTTCCCACACCTAATTAATTAGAGATTATTTTATTGAAGTCTTTAATAGCATATAACACCCAAAATATGCTTCGGTTCACATTTAACTCCAGAGAATCATCAATCAAAACATGGATATTACCTGACCACAGATTCGTGGTGACGTCACTGCTCTTTTAACTGTTTGGTGTCTTTGCTTTGTTTGCTGGTTGTAGAAATGGTTTATTTGAGCTTTGAGCTGAGATTCAGAGATTTCTGTGGACACTGCTCATGTCGGCACTTATATTTCTGACCTTTTCTTATAACCCATTAAACATCATCTCCTCCCTTCTGACCCCATTTTTGGTGGTGTAGGTACAAATGATCAGGCATGACATTCTCATAATAAATAAGATACTGCAAATAATTATTTCTGCATTTGTGCGATTGAAGTGAATTGAAAATGTGTATGAAATGATACTGTTTTAAAGATTTGGCCTAAATAAATTTGAAGTGAATGAGTCTAAACATGATGACCTAACTAGTGATACCCTGACACACACAAACACACACTCACTCACTCACTCACTCACTCAAGCATGTTGTGCCACTTTCAGCTGAAACCATGTTTCAAACCATATTCTGGGTTTTTAGTTCACCATTTATGAGGTTTCAAGAAGAAAATAAAAGACAGATCTGAATGTTTGAAAATGTTTTGGAAAGATTCTGTAAAGATGAGATGAAAAATACTCAAAGGATAAATTTAGTTGGTTTATTATTTAGATAAGAATAACAAGCAAGTAAATGAAGGAAAAGATAAAATGAAGTAATAATGAAAGAAGTTAAACAAGTAAAAGAAGAAACAAGGTAAAATGAAGAAACAAGGCAAAATGAAGAAACAAGGTAAAATGAAGTAATAATGAAAGAAGTTAAACAAGTAAATGAAGAAACAAGGTAAAATGAAGAAACAAGGCAAAATGAAGAAACAAGGCAAAATGAAGAAACAAGGCAAAATGAAGAAACAAGGCAAAATGAAGAAACAAGGTAAAATGAAGTAATAATGAAAGAAGTTAAACAAATAAATGAAGAAAAAAGGCAGAGGAGAGAAAACCCCAACAATGCCCTCTGAGCAAGCACTTGGCGACAGTGGGGAGGAAAAACTGCCTTTAAACGGGCAGAAACCTCCGGCAGAACCAGGCTCAGGAGGGGACAGTCAACTGCCGGGACTGGCTGGGGGGTTAACAGAGGTGGAGCAAGACGAGGCTACATCAGGTGAGGAAGCAGTAGCGTCTCTCCTCTGGAACAAGTGGAACCATTTTTTCTTTTTTTTCATGCACTTTTCCACGAGCGCTTTTTTCTCCACGATGAGATTTCTCAGCTCGTCGATGGTTTCTGCAAGTGGTTTTTCTTCAAGTTTCTCACATCTTTGTTCCACCTCTTCCAATGCTGCTTGTTGTTCTTCAAGCTTGTCTTTGAGTTGTTTGGATGTTTCCTCCTGTATCAGCTTGTCATTGTGCATGTCTGCATTTCTCTGTTGGACCTCTTTGTGCTTGTCTTTTAACTGCTTCTTTCTTTTCTTGATTTCTTGATTTTTGTCTTCATGTATTTTGTCTTCTTGTTGTTTTTGTGACTGCATTTGAGTGTGTTCACTCTTCAAGTTATTGAATTCCACCAAACGCCCCTTAACGAGCTCGGAGTTGTTTCTCGCTATCTGATCGATCCTTTTCTGCATCTGTGAGCACCGTTTCTCCAGTTTGTCCCTTTCTTCTTCCACTTTAGTTGCTTTGTCCTCCAGCTGATTACAAAACTCTTGCAGTTTTAGATTTTTAGACTGAAAGTCCTGGACGATGCGTTTTCCTTCTTTCAGTCTTTTTTGTTGTTGCTCTTTCTGTTGAAGAAGGTCTTTATTTTGGCGCAGTGTTTCATCCAGGCTTTCTTTCAGCATGCGGTATTTTTCCTGCATGCTCTTCAGTTTGTGCTGCATGTCTTGTAGCTTTTTGTCCTGCTCTTCCTTCTGTTGGAGGAATTTATTCTTTTCTTCCACAGCTTCATGGAGCTGTCTTTGGAGGAGCCGATTTTTTCGGTCCATGTATTGGAGATCCCGCTGTATCTTATCAGTCATCGTTTTCTTGTCTTGGAGCTGGTTGGTCATTTCTTTTAGTTCTGCGCGCTTTTGCCTGTTTTCTTTAATGAGGTGCACAATCTGCTCTCGGGCCTGAGCAAACTTGATTCCCCAGCCCTCATTAATAATGTTTATGTCCGGCTGGCGCTGTTGTCTTTCTTCCAGCTCTTTATTTTGGGCTTCCATTCGTCTACACTTGTCCTCCAGTTGAAGTTTTTCTTCTTCAATTTGTTGCATTTTTTTCTGGAGAAGGTAGTTTTCCTTCCTACTCTCCTCTAATGCCCTTTGGAAGGATGAGATGCCATTTGGGGAAATTGGCCGGCCACTCCAGGAAGGAGAGGCGGCGTAATCTTTTTGAATTGGTTGTTTTTTTCTTGGAAACATGTTGGAGTTTCTATACGATGACTTTGACGAGCTTTCCAAATGTTTCTGTGGTGAACGTTTTGTATGCTGCAAACACAGATGCTGCTGAAACGAACTAAATCTTGCTGTTTCTCACCCCTATTTAAGGAAAAACATCAAAGGACTTAAGATTCGATGAAGTTCTATGACATCATCACTCCCTAAGCCAATGAGATTGTCAAAAGACGTTTTGGAATGGGGTGTTTTTTTTTTAAACTGTTTTCAAACTTAACTTAAAATTTCAGTGTTTCCTAGTTGTGGACTATTGGTTAGTCCAGCCGATGAAGAAATTAATTGTCACAAACATCCCTAATATTACATAACAGACGACAGAAAACAAGACAGTTTTTTTTCTAATAGAGGTATAATAAAAGTTTTTTTTTAATTATCCTACTTTTTATAAAAGAGAACATTTATTAAAGATTATGTATTTAATTAAAAAACTCTGTTCATCTAAAGCAGGGGTCAACAACCTTTAAGACCCAAAGAGCCATAATTGGCCTATCTGGTGTTGAAAGGCTCGATAAATGCACGGCGTTTCGCCGGGTACACCGGCTTCCGCGAGTGTGATGCTTATTTTGAGCGATGAAAAAATAACAAAATATAATTTTATTTGTATATTGCAAAATCACAATAATCTTCCAATTTAGAACTACAAGTAAAAAAAAAACTGGCATAAATAAAACACACTTCAGCTAAATACTAATTTATTTTCCCAAACCATGCAGAGCCGCACTATAAGGACTAAAGAGCCGCATGAGGCTCCGGAGCCGCAGGTTGCCGACCCCTGATCTAAAGGCTATAACAAAAAGCTTCCTGCTGGAAAATGAAATGTCCCCACTGGGCGATCGTGGCTCAAGAGTTGGGAGTTTGCCTTGTAATCGGAAGGTTGCTGGTTCGAGCTCTGGCTTGGACAGTCTTGGTCGTTGTGTCCTTCGGCAAGACTCTTCACCCGTTGCCTACTGGTGGTGGTCAGAGGTGCCAGTATCCGGCAGCCTCGCCTCTGTCAGTGCACCCCAGGGTGGCTGTAGCTACATCACCAGTGTGTGAATGGGTGGATGACTGAACATGTAAAGCGCTTTGGGGTCTTAGGGACTAAGTCAAGCGCAATACAAATACAGGCCATTTACCATTTTTCTGGGCGTGGGTGTTTAACTAGTTAAAAAGAACAAAAAAACAAACAAACATCTGTCTCCTATTTTTTATGTCACACAGGAAAGAAGCTTCAATATCTGATGAGAAGAATTTGTTGGTCTTTGGTGCAGTTTTCTTCTTTTCTGGCTTGTTGTTTATTTACAGTGGAGATGAAGATCTCTAACAAGTTGATTTGTTCACATTTGCACATTTTTAAGAGGAATATGTTTTTTGAGTTTGTACACTTGTTTACTGGGAAATGAAATGCTGCCAATTCACAAAGCTGTGTTTCAGCCGCACTTCCTGTTATAGACTTGTGATGCACACAGGCTCTGTTCCAGCACTCAGCATGTTCTTCCTCATTTTCTCCACCAGGGGAGTTCCTCAACTATGACATCCTGATAGGAGTGAACCAGGGAGAGGGGCTGAAGTTTGTGGACGACAGTGAGGACAACGACGGCATCTCAGCTGCGGCGTTCGACTACACCATCTCCAACTTTGTTGACAACCTCTACGGATACCCAGAGGGTGAGGACGCCACCTCTGTACACTGCCACTTTTTCAGTTATTCCATTTTACAGCCTCCTCTCACTTAACTGCATTTTGCAGCATCATCAGGTTTTGTCTCATTAGGAGCCGCGTTTGTTGATCTGTTAGTTTTTTTCTGTTTGCTGTATTCATTAAAATAAACGGATAATCGTCAAAATGACAAATGTGGACAATTATCAAAGCTTACATTACAGTTCTGACAGCTTGAGTTCACATGAATTTTCAAAAGAATATAAAGACCTGTGAAAGTGCTTTAAGCGTTTAAAACATGCGAGTAAAGAATGGAATCAGTAACATGTGAGCCCAGTGAAGTGCATCAAACAAGACAAGCGTGCTAAAGAGAGCCACTCATCCACATCACGCCTTAACCTTTGAGGCTCTGTGGGCAGTAATGCTATCATCCCCCAGGTAGTCGGCTCCCAGTCTCAGTGTCTGTGTTTCTGACAGATCGGCCTGCGAACCCGTCACAGCCGGACCACAGTCACAGTACAGACATGTTTGGATAATGCAGTCATGCTTCCTCTCTGTGCCTGTCACTCGTTCTGTTATCTGAAAGACTTTTTTTTTTCCTCTCTAGATTTCTCACTCGCTTCCTGGCTCTTGGTTCATCTCACCAACATTTGCTTGGTTTCATATCTTTTGATCAGACCGATCTCTTAAAAAATGTCTTGCACTGCTGTTACTTTACTCTTAGCAGTTTTTCACTTTTATCTTTCTTCCCCCTCCTTTTGTCCCCTCCTGTGCTTCTTCACCAGGCAAAGACATCCTGAGGGAGACCATTAAGTTCATGTACACAGACTGGGCGGACAGGGACAACGGCGACATGCGGCGGAAGACTCTGTTGGCCCTGTTTACGGACCACCAGTGGGTGGCACCAGCTGTGGCCACTGCCAAACTCCATGCTGAGTTTCAGTCCCCAGTTTACTTTTACACGTTCTACCACCACTGCCAGACGGAGACGCGGCCCGAGTGGGCCGACGCCGCGCACGGAGACGAGATACCTTACGTGTTCGGCGTACCGATGATCGGTGCCACGGACCTGTTCCCGTGCAACTTCTCCAAGAACGATGTGATGCTGAGCGCTGTGGTCATGACTTACTGGACTAACTTCGCAAAGACTGGGTAGGCCTCATGTCGTAGTGTAAACTGTACACGTTACTGTATGTCCTCTGACAGCCTTCTAGTCATCTTGAATACTTGAATCTGGGTTGCTAGTTTAATTCCCGTGTGGCTTTGAAGAATTGAACATACTGGTTGACCAAAAGCATCCAGATCCCAGAGCAGCCGGTTGGTCTTAGATAGTTGAAAGGTTGCACAGAGAATGGGCCTCCTGTCTGTATTCAGTGTATTGATGCCACATGTTACTTATAATGGAGACTGAATATAACTTTGAACTGAAACGTTTAACCTTTATGCTCCACCAGGGACCCCAACCTGCCCGTCCCTCAGGACACCAAGTTCATTCATACCAAGCCCAACCGCTTCGAGGAGGTCATCTGGACCAAGTTCAACTCGAAGGACAAGCAGTACCTTCACATCGGTTTGAAACCTCGTGTCAGAGACAACTACAGAGCTAACAAAGTGGCCTTTTGGCTGGAATTAGTCCCTCATCTTCACAGCCTGCACGACGTGCTCTTTCCCACCACTACGCGCTCCCCTGCAGGTCGTGACCCCGGCACCACGAGGCCCAGGAACAACGTTCCTCGAACCACTCGTCATCCTTACCCTACCTTCCCGTCAGATCCCGAACCCGAGGGCTCAGAGCGCCCGCCCCAGGACCTCTTTCCCGGAGACACCCGCGACTACTCCACCGAACTGAGCGTGACAGTTGCAGTTGGAGCGTCGCTCCTCTTCCTCAACATCCTGGCCTTCGCCGCCCTTTACTACAAGCGTGACAAGCGGCACGAGATGCGCCGGCACCGGCTGTCCCCTCAGCGGGGCGGCCCCGCCAACGACCTGGCTCACAGCCAGGAGGAGGAGATCATGTCCCTGCAGATGAAGCACTCAGAGCACGACGCTCACCACGACATGGAGCCCCTGCGACCCCACGACATCCTGCGGCCCGCCTGCCCTCCCGACTACACCCTGGCACTGCGCCGCGCCCCGACGACGTGCCGCTGATGACGCCAAACACCATCACCATGATCCCCAGCACCATCACCAGCATGCAGCCTCTTCACGCCTTCAACACATTCCCCTCCACCGGCCACAACAACACCCTGCCCCACCCCCACTCCACCACCAGGGTATAGTAGGGACAGGCCCGACACAGTGCCACCTAGGGACCAGGAACACTGGCTCTGCTACCGCTCTGGAAGGGAGGCCTCTCGACGTGGGCCTTCGTTCTGTCCTCTTATTCTCTTCTTTCTCCAAAAGCAACTACACCTGCTGCGTCATGTGCTGTAAAACTTGGCAGCTCCCTCCACTGGTGGCATGTGGAGGTGCAACTGAAGTGTACAGCAGCAGATGAGCAGTTTGGGGTGGGGGTGGGGTGGGTGACTCAGATCTTTCAAAGATACTGTTTTCAAAGACGGTCTGCTGTTTCCAGGCTCAAGACCTCCAACATTTGTCAAAGGGACGAATGCTCTCTCGCTCCTCGCTGTTTTCTCTTTTTTACGTTGGCGTCATCTCTTTTTCCATCTCCTGTGTGTTATGTGCACATTATGCTTCTCTTTTCTACATCCCTGTTTTACTACTGCTCTCTTCCTCTCATTTGACACACCTCCCTCCTGCTCTTCTCTAAAAATTCCCGATCTGCTGAGCAGTTTGGAGGGGGGAGGCGTACACTAAACATATAACTATAAAACACTCATATCTTTCATTCTACCAGCATTTTTAGGTGCCAAGTAAGTACTGCTGTGTTTCATTTCTCATCGAGGGAGCAGAAAAACGAAAGAAAAATAGAGTATCGCTATTTACAGTCAACTAACAGAGTTCTGTCATGTTCTCATGACAAAGTGCCAAACTGGCCTCAGTCGTGTTTTTCTTTCTTTCATCTTCTCTTTTTTTGTTGTTTTGTTTGAAGCATTTGTTTAATTGTTGTTTTTTATTGTGTGGAAATAATTTTTCTGAAAATATAGATATAGAGAAATGATATTATATATAGTTCTATATAAAATGTGTACAAAGGAGAAAGTATATAAAGGGGTTTTCTCAGTGGGGGATCTATGCATGAATTATTTTTAAAGACGCGGGGAAAAGGACACTGTACCTGTCGATGCACGTTTCCCAAGACTAAACGAGTCATATCGCTCCATGTTTGCTACTTTTGGTTTTTGGTTTTCTCCCGCAGAGTAAGAGCATCGCAGGAGCTCCTGAAGTCAAACGACGCCTCCCAGCACTCATTTATTAAAACGGAGTCGATGCCAAAAGTCTTAAACGTTAGAATCAAAGCAACAGCTGTGAACTCAGTCATGGTGTCATGTGCAGCCTTCATCTTACTGTCACTACTTTTTCATTTTAGGGTACGTGAGGTAAAGCGTCCGTCGATGTAGCTTGATTGTACAAAATTATTTTTCTACGTTATTAACAAAACAGAGCAGAGACTGATGCTGCTCCTGTCTGACCCCCTTGTGTCTGCCACATGTGTATTCTGACTTATGTGTGTGTGTGTGTGTGTGTGTGGCTGTCGCTGTGTGAGTGTGATATTACATCTGCATCACTCAAGCGTAGGCGGGCCCGCGTCAGACAACAATAAACAAAAAGCAGAAAAAGGCCAACAGTAAAAACTCAGACTCCAGCATGAGCTCCTTCCTGCTGCTTAACCAATCACCTTCCTCCATATCATCACTGCTCCCTCCCTCCTCCTCTCTCCATCCTACACCACCTTTGTTATTTAACACCGACCCCCCCAATCTGATAATCAGACAAATTCCCAAACACCTGACTTCACTGTGTCGACACCGTTCCTGACCATTTCTGACCTCAGGTCAGCTCTGCTATTATCCTCACATTAAGGGTTCGTTCACCTGCCTGCAGATGATCTGTGAGCTCGTCGGTTGTAAATTAAACTCTAAGCACACTGAGGGTAACCGGGAGGCGTTCAGGGCCTGCAGTGCAGAGCTGCAACATGACAAAAAGGGATGGGGGCTCAGATCTCCTGAACAGGGTGGAAACAACACGGTGGGTTTGTGCTGTTTGTGATTCCTGCTCCGTCACTCTGGTGGAGACGACTGCAGCTCAGCAGCGCTCCCTGCTGATCCTCTGATGAAGATGTCAACAGTATGTAAACTGAGCTGATGTGCTGCTGTTTGAGCCCACGTGGTAGCGTACGTCCAGTATGGGAGAACTTAGTCACCGGTGCTGTCTTTGCTTGTGCTCTAGCTTTAGCCTGTTTGATTGTTTGTTTTCTATTTTATTACTGCCTAAAAGGGAGGTGGGGGAAACACATGCCTGACTTCTCCTGTCAGAGGTTTTGTAAGCTCACTGGAAGGGAAACGTGCACAATGTAAATCATAAAACAACTGACTGGGGCTGTGCTGCAGGTGGATCAGTGCTGTGGACCGTAGCTGTGGAAAAGAGACTGGACAAAGACTCTCAGCCTTAAATACAGGACAGAGGATGATCCGATCATCTTTCAGCTAACAGTGTCGAGCAGAAGGACGGCCGGCTGATGCGTCCGTACGAACCCTTTTGTACTCACTCCTGTGTATAAGGAGGCGGCGAGGGGTTGTGTAGTTAACCTCAGCACCACACAGCTACAGCAGAGGAGAGAACACAAACGAGTCCTTTCATTCGGCTCTGTTCTTTCTCCTTGTCTGTTTTATAAGCTAACAATAGAGGGCGCCATTGTGGCACATTCAGCGCTCACTCTGAGGTCACTGGACAGAGAAGAAAATACCAAACTGAGAGACGGATGGAGACGAAACATCTGGAAGATCAGAACTGTACATTTTTAAGTGTAAGAAAAAAAACAGACAAAATATTTGTAAATATTAAGTTTCTTGTTTATTTTATGTTTTGTTTTTTGGGGTTTTTTGGAGTGAATGAATGATATGCTTATTTTGTGATGACAAAAGACAACAGGTGCAGTTTGTAATGAGAAGAAAAAAATGGCCGTTAGCTTGAGGTTTCAAATGAGTTCATCCTTACCACCGATCAGTTTTGTCTTTGTTTTTTCGACATTTATTTTATTTTTGTCATAACGTTGATCGTTATCATGTGACCATCCTGTAGCAGGAAGGTCGCTGTAGCAGAAGTCATCTCTACTGAAGCCCCCTCACAGCAGAGGGCCAGTCATGCTGTTTATTAGCATTTGCTAGTTTTCAGTGAGAAAAAACATTTTCATCAAGTTTTAAATCCTTTCGTTGCTCTTTTCTCTGCGATTATCATAAAATCGTCGTCCTCTTTTCAAGCCTTAGCTCGCTTTTATTTTGAAAAATGAGTCTTGTGATCAGAGATGAATCTGTGCTGCATGATGTGCGTAACATCAGAGCGATAAAAGCCAGCTTTGCCTTTCAGTGATTCGCAGTAAGGACATAAATGACCTAAACTGAGACTGAAAAAAGTGCAGTCAGTTAAATGTTAGCTCACCTAACATGTAGCAGTGTTTACATGTAGCCATGTTTGACAGACTCCAGGGCTTTGATACCATAAGATGCCTCATATCCTCACAGACTCATGAGATCACACAGGTGGTCTGACCTGCTCGTGTCACACTGTGCTGTCTGTCTGTCCGTTGTTTTTCTCCTGCAGTGATGTTATGTAGCAGAAAAACAGTTGGATGCTGGAAAAGTGCAGAGCGATGGGTGACGTGTGGAGAACATCACAGTCTGTGTGTGTTCAACAGCTGTTAGAGCCACACTTTGTCCTTTCTGTGGTATAACTGCTGGATTTATTTTATTCCAACACTTAGAAACTGTCAGCAAAGCAAAACTTCATGATTGGATGATCCTGTGTCACGTCCACAGTGTCAAACGTGCACAGAGACAGTGACACCCACAGAGAAACCCTCAGCTTGGCGTCCATTGCAAATCTGCACCTGTTGTCTTCTTTCTACTTTCTTTGTTGAACTCAGAAACTCGAGACTTGAGATGAAGAAAAATGTTAAATAATGGAATAAAAAAAGATGATTATTAAAAAAAGTAAAGTAAAATTATATAAATAAATGAGGTGATGATATTTCTGTTTACTTTAGAAGTTATTATACACTGTATGCTGTGATTCTGATCTGGGAAACATTAAAGACATTCATAGCCAGACTGCTGACTTTGTGTTTTTATTCAGTCGCCTAACAGAAGTGCAGTAAGAAACGATTTAGCCCATCCTGATTTCTTAGCTATTTGCATATTTGACACACTTACGTGTTTCAGATCATGAAGCAAATTTTTATGATAGATAAAGATGACCAGAGTCAGTGTAAAATAAAGCTTTTACATGTATTGCTGGGAGGTCGGCAGCTCCCTCCACTGCTTGGCCCTCTGTGAAAAACAACTGGGATCCAGCTTCCCTGTGATGCTGAATTATATAAGCGGAAGAACATAAATAGATAGAAGGATGGATGATTGTATTTTGTGTACAATTGTTGAAGTGTAAAAGGGTTGGCCCTCCGTGGTGCCCTAAGCAAAGTTTGATTTTTGGAGCCCTTTAATAGTGCCAATAATAGTGATTAATGATCACCTACTATAAATGTATTTCATTTTCTAATGTTGATGTTGTTGTAATCCACAGTGAAAAATGTCATAAAAACAGAGAGAAACAATAGATCAAACCTGAGAGCTGCACAGTTGCAGCAGTGTGGTTTACGTCATTCTGTTGTCAGCCTGTTTTACACATCGGTGGTTTCTTATTGACATGTAAAAAGATCTGAAATCGTAGTAAATTCAGCTGCTATTGTGGGCTGGGGATGATTTACACTTAACATTTTAATAACTGGGTACTGAATGTCATAGGCCCAATGTTCCCTCTAATTTTTCACGTGTCTGAGCGAACACACAAACTCCCTGAGCGATCCCTTGGACCACTGAGCGACATCAGACGTGTGCACTGTGGTCACGCCGGCATCGAATCCATCCAAGTTACATGGTTTATTAAAAGAATCAAATTACAGCGTTTACATTTATGTTAGACTACTTTTATTTAACTGCTTTAGCCCATTACCATGAAAATGTAAAAAAAAATCTTGTTCATGACCTGTGCAGTATGTTAACACTATTGGAAGCAAAAATAACTTGAACTCCAATTTCGAAAACACAACTTTCTATTTTTTTTTTTTTTAATAAAGCTCTGACTTGTATCATGAGTCTGTGGTCTGGGAGAGAGTC